AGGGGGAGGAGGAGGAGGAGGAGGAGGAGTGGAAGGCGGAGGGCGACGCGGCTGAGGAGGAAGACGAGGTGGGTGAGGGGGAAGAAGGAGGAAACGGAGGTGAGTGAGGGAAAGAGAAGGAGGAGGAGGAGGAGGAGGAGGAGGAGCAGGGAGGAAAGAGGAAGAAGGCTGCGTGGCCCCCCTCGGCCCCGTCCTCGTCTGCGCCCAAGAGGCACCGCCGAGGCTCCTCGGAGTGCGGCATGGAGACCATCTCGTCTGGGCCTGGGACGACGGGGATGGCGACGGCGACGACGATGCGACGGCGCAGACGACGGCGGGCGGCGAATGCGGCGACGACGGCGATGGCGATGGCCACGGCGGCGACGACGGCGGCGATGACGACGACAATGGCGACGGCGTTGGAGACGGCGACGACCAGGGCAACAGCGACGGCGACGACGTGGACGAAGACGATGTCGGCGAAGGCGACGGCGACGGCGATGTCCGGCAGCGACGACGACAGGTCAAAGCAGGGAGAGCAGGAGGAACGGAACGACGACGACGATGACGATGACGACGATGACGATGACGACGAGAAGAATGGGGAGAATGCGAGCATGCAACAAGGAGCCAGGAGCTGGGAAGAAGTGAGGCAGATTGGGACAACTGGAGATGCAGCAACGGGGGTCGACGAATCAGCGACACAACGGTCTTTTGCCCTGAAAGCTAGCAACGCCTGCGGCAGGAGCCGACGTGAGCGGCCCGCTCGCGTGGGGGTATCCAGGAAAAGGGAGGATGGAGGAGGGAGGGCGGAGGAGGGAGAAAGAGGATAACGATGAGGGCAAATGCTCGAGGGGGAAGGGGAGGGAGGGGAGGAGGGAGGGGATGAGCGGAGACGAGGCAGGGAGGGGAGCACAGAGAACCCAAGAGAGAGGAGGAGAATGCTTGTACACACGAGGTCCTCTAGGAGCTCGGCGAACAGCACAGCACGCGTCATTGATACCTCCATACGCCCATCCGCCACAGGCTTCCGCATCGCATGATCAGTCGGCACCGAATCGGGAAGTTGGATCGGATCGAAAATGCGCGTCGGAACGGGCCGCATCGGCACGGAGTCGAGATCGGATTGGATCGGCCGCGCCAAGATGCACACCAGCGCCATGCAAGCAAGCGTCGGGCCGCACCGGATCGTCGGAATGTCGGAAACGAACCGGCTCGGGCAAGCGAGAGCCTACATCCAATCGCACCGATCGGATCGAAACGGACCCTGACCTCAGCTTTCGGGTCATACCTCGGGTCTCTGGCGGCCGTTCGGCACGACTCGGGAAGCCCCGGAATGCTTTCGGCGAGTCGCAGCTGCTGGAAAGCATCCCGAGGCGAGACAAACCTGAAGAACAGACGAAAACGTCCAGAATCCCCGGAATCGAAATCGAGACAAGAAACCTCCAACGAGCACTCGGAAACGTCCGAACGCGTCAGAATCGGCATGGGCCCTGCAAGGGCGCAGTTGCGGGTATATCCCCCGCCGCTGCCCGCGGGCCTGCCGCAAGCGCAGGGCCAAGGGAGGAAGCCACCCGAGTGGGGCCTGCGCAAGCCGGGTCGGAGGATATCGCGCCGCCTGGCCGGCGCACGGGCCGATGCATCGGCGTTGCGCGTCGGAGACGTCGCGATGCTCCTCGATCCCATCCGCGACGCCCCGAGCCCGTCCTCGCACAACGAAGAGCTCCGTCCCCGATCCTCGATGTGCTCCTGTGGAGGCCTCCCACAGTCGCGACGCTCCTCGATTCCCGAGCCCGCCTCCGCACAGAAGCCATGCGCCAGACCTTGGCACGGCGTTTGGGCATCACTGTCGCCACTGGGCCGGGTTTCAGGTCAGGACGCGCAAGGGCGAAAACGTGCGAAATTGAAACCCCTGCGAACATGATGCGACAAAGCACCCGACTGTGGAGCAGAAAAACACAGCGCATCACGACTATGAAGCAGAGGAAGTGGTGGGGGGCGACTCCAGAAGGAGGAGAAGAGGGAGGTCCACAGCAACTATCCCTCCTCGATGGCACTCGTGGCTGCGAGCCGGCTGGCCCGCTCAGCGGCCAGCCGCTGCGCCTCGCGGCCAAGCTCCTCAGCCTGGCCGCGCGCGCGACATCCGAATGCCAGCGAGGCATCGCTCAGTGCCACTATTAGGCATGGCGCGCCCCACCGAACAGGAGGGCCTAGCGGAGGCTCGGCGGCGCGGGCCCCCTGCGGCGCCTTCCAATCCGAAATGGCTGGCCTAGGACGCCCGCACCGCCTCCGACGGGCTGCGTGCCTCGTCGATGGCCGCATCCCAGGCCCGATGAGGGTGCATCCCACGGCCGTCGCGGCTGCGCGCATTCCTTGCTCTCGGAGGTGGCTCACCGCCCGTGGGCGGACAAGGCGCTAAGAGCCCACGGCCCCGACCAGGGCGCGCGGCGCGACTCCAACAAGTGGTGCAAACTAGCATTGATGAGGACGCGCCCTGGGGCCCACCCTCTGGGCATCGCCACTCGCGAATCTGGGCAGCAAGGAGGCCGTGCCCGCGCGCGCGCCAGGGACTAGCCTGAGCCAGAGCGTCAGCGCGCGCCTCGGGATCCGAGTCCGGAAGAGCGGCCGCGCCTGCTTTCGCCGCCGGGGCCGAGGCAGCGCCTGAAGCATCAGCGCGCGACTCTCCTCGAGTTCCCCCAGCCTCGCCCTCCGACCCCGACCGCCTCTCCACCTCGAGCTCAACAGCGCGGAGGGCCTCGAGGCCCTTGATGGTCGCGAGTGCCGGTTTCAGTCAGCACGGCCTCCACGCGCCCCCACAGGTGGGCGCGGGGCTGGCCTGGCCCGCCGACACTCGCTAGGTTCTGCCCGCACGCGAACATGGCCCTACAGTCTGAATGCAACGCGTAGCGGCCGGCGGCGTGCCTTGACGCCATCAGGACAGCATAGCCCCCCCCCGTCCCTGGCGGACTGGGGCGGGCAAAAATTTCGGGGCACCACCCTGCGCAGAGAGCCCAAGAAACAACAATCGGTGCTGCATGCAACCACAGCCCAACCGGCCACCCTCAAGGTGGGGAATTCGGCGTCGAAGCAGGCCCCATCGGCGAAAATGCGCCCGCCTTAAGGAGGTGGAGGAGGAGGAGGAGGAGGACGAGGACGATGAGGGGGAAAATGGACCGCCGCTTTCAGCATTCCTGCAATAGCACATACATGCAATGGGCCCATTTCAGCTTAGGGCGACTGCGTCTCCGGACCAAATGCAGCTTCTCTGGTGTATTTCCCCCAGGCACGCGCGCCAACGACCTCAAATAGATAGTGTCTGGCAGGGAGCATATTTTCACAGAGCATTGCTTATGCCTCTCGCGCGCTGTCTCGCTCAGGCGATCCGCCCGCGCTGTAGACCGAACTGTGGCGTTCGACGCCCTGGAGCAAGGAGGACGCGGGATGCCCAATATTTTTCGGAGGCAAAAAGCGTGAAAGCTGTCTGGCCTTTGCCGGCCTGCCTGAAACGATCGGCGAATCTTTCGCGATGTTGACAGACCAGCGCGGCTTCAAGATGCCGCAACTGCTCGGAATAGTCCTCGTTGTTCGCCCAACCTTTTCGTAACTTCTGGTTTGCTTTCGTGGGAAGGTAACTCCCTCGAGGAGAGATGACTGTTAGAATGTCGCGCCCCCGTGCATGTTGAGGCAGGAGAGAACCCTATGGACAACGTAGCAAAGCCAATATAATCGGATGGCGCCCGTAATATCAGCACTAATGCTAGTTAATTTCAGTGCGTTGTTAATCATGTTGCGGGAATACATTTATTCAGGCCTCGGCCTTGGATGCCATCGAAAATTCTGGACCGTGGGGTTGCAGTGAAGCAACAACATGGCTTGAGCAAGTATGTTGTAGAGCTTGGCTCACTGTGGCGCGAGCCAAAGTGGCAAGACGAAGAGAGGGAAGAGGGGGGCAGGAGGATGGAGGGGGAGGAGGGTCGAGCGAGGAGGGAGGAGCGAGGGAGGAGGGAGGAGGAACGAGGGAACGGGGGGCTCCCAGCTGTTTTCTTTGTTGCAGGGGTGCGCTGAGCCACGGTGCGCCGTCTGAAAAAAAAAACTCGACTGTCTGAAGTTGGATCGGCCCATGAACGGACAAGGTTGTGATTGACCCAACAACATCTAAAGAAACTGTCTCGGCCAGCAGTGGCCGTCTAACCCACCGCAGAGGTGGTCGAGCTACGTGCTCGCAAAACTATCGGCCAGCCGTGGCCGTCTAACCCACCACTGATTAGGTGGTCTAGCTACGTGCTTGCAAATGTCTCGGCCAGCAGTGGCCGTCTAACCCACCGATGAGGGAGGGGGCGGCGACGCTCCCACTCAGTCGCGCACATTCGTCATCCTCCTCATCCTCCTCCTCCTCCTCCTCCTCCTCCCCCTCCTCCTCCTCCTCCTCATTCCCCCATGCGGTGGTCGAGCTACGTGCTCGCAAAAGTATCGGCCAGTCGTAGCCGTCTAACCCACTGATCAGGTGGTGCGGCTACGTGCTTGCAAATGTCTCGGCCAGCAGTGGCCGTCTAACCCACCGATGAGGGGGCGGCGACGCTCCCACTCAGTCGCGCACATTCGTCCTCCTCCTCCTCCTCCTCCTCTTCCTCCTCCTCCTCCTTCTCCTCCTCCTCCGCCCCCAGACTCGCAACCCCCCTCGTTGATTCTTTCGGCAGAATATCTCGCTGCACTTAAGGGGTCCTTAAGTGCAGCGGCTTGTTTTCTCTCAAATAGATGCTTGAGCACAGCTGCACCTCCCTCCTCCTCCTCCTCCTCCTCCTCCTCCTCCTCCTCCTCCCCCTCCTCCTCCTCCTCCTCCTCCTCCTCCTCCTCCTCCTCCTCATTCCCCCATGCGGTGGTCTAGCTACGTGTTCGCGAATGTCTCGGCCAGCAGTAGCCGCCTAGCTATGCGTTCGCACCGTGGCTCGTTCCTGCATTTTCGAGGCTCGTCGTCGCATTTAAGGTGTCGTTGATGTGTCGGGTTTCGTTCGGGATATTCCTCGCCTCGAAAATCGCACCGACACGCAATTGCATCAGCGGAACACGTGTTTGCAGTGCTTCCACTTAGGGTCAGAAATCGCAGCTTTGTGCTCGCTGTTCTCCCCCGTCGTATTGCGGGGGCAATTGGCTGCAGCAGTCCTCTTAGCAATCTCAGTCACTGTCATTGCTGTCACGGCGCCAGGGATAGGAGGGCGGGTCAACTCCACGTTTGCCTTTTTGATCACAGAGGGGTTCATCTCGAGGTAGTGCACCGTCACGGGGACATCCACCGTGATCTCCTTATTCACGTTGGTGTACGTGAACGTGAAGCTGTCCTGAAAAGTCTGAACGACCATCGTAGCTGCAGCGGCGGCCTTCGCGGACGTCGTAGACACCATCCAGGCTGGCTGGAACGCTTCGCACGAGAACGTGCTGTAGTTGTGGCCGTCGATGTAGAGCTGCTCGTTGGCGTACTGGCACACGGGCAGGCTCCCTCTGCTGGGCATGCGCGTCACTTTTCCAAGGAATACCATCTGGATCGCTGGCGTCGCACGTGACGCAATCAGGCGCGGGGGCGACTCTGACGGGTCAGCCTCGATGAATGACGTGCCCCATTCAGCTGGCGCCCCCTTCCTGGGAGGACTGTGTGCGTAGGTCCTCCACAAATACGTCTCCAACGCTTTAGTGAACAACTCAATCGTGAGAGGAGCGGCCCCGACGTCGATGCTGGTCTTGAACACGTTGCGAATCTCAGCCAACGTCGAGAGCTTGGCCTGCTTAGCGGCGTCGGTGCTTGCGTCGCCACCTTTGACGAACGATCAACACGCACCCATACCCATAAAGGGGGACGGCATGAGCTGTGGGCGCGCGTTGTCGGATAGGCCCCCCCGCTCGAACGGGGGCCTCCTCAGGGGTCCGACAACCCGCACCCATGCCCAGAGCCCGTCCTTCTCACTCCGACCTCCCTATGGGCATGGGTGTGTGTCGTTCGTTCGTCAACCTTTCTTGGCCATGACAATGCAGTCCTCCTTGGTCGGCTCAGCGGCCTTGTCGTCGCCATCCTTCTTGGTCTCGGCGTTGGTAACCGTAGCCTCCTGTGCCGGTGCCGTCTCCGAGGCGTCGGCAGGCGCCTCGGCCCCGGCGCTGGTGGCTGCCTCGACGGATGGCGCCTCGGCGCAGTTGCCCTTGTCGACTGCACTGGCTGCCCCGTCGGCGAGAGTTGCCGCGAGGACTTTGTTCCGCACGCTTGCAACTTGGAAGTCCGTAGTGCTCGACTCACGCAACAGTTCCGACCAGAACGGCGCCCAAGTGTTGCGGTCCAACATGCAGTCCGACTCCGTGATGGCGCTGGTGTTCGCCACCAGGACATCCATGCTTACATCCTTCATGAACACGAAGTCGGCCATGGCGCCCAGCATCTCGAACATGTAGGTAGCTCGCATGGCCAAGAAGCGCGTGAGATTGATATCAGTGTTGAAGATTCCCAAGGACACGTCGGATGGAGTCGCACTGGTCTGCCTAACCACTTCGCGGCATAGAAAACCAAAGTCCACGAACTCAGGGCGAATATGATTGAAAATCAAGTCCTTCATCATGCTCAGGGCCTGGCCCACGCTCACGTCGCCGTTCCACCCGAAGATCGTCTTCACCATGTTCTGGAGTTGCGGGTGGAATCTGCACGGCTTGGTGAGGTCGGTGTCGTTGATCAGCGTGACCAATTGCATCATGGTGTCACGATCGGTTTGGAGAGTCGCAAGTGTCTCTTGCTCCTTGGTTGCGTACGTGGCGGACGCAGATGGCACTGGATGTTCAGCCTGCTCCGCAGTCGCCAGCTGGTCGCAGACAACTGTGACGACCTTCTCAGGTGCAACGCCCCACAAGGATGCATCGAGATGGTTCTGATACAGATGCGAATGAACGCGAGCAGTGTTCGCCCTGAGCTCCTTGCGTAGCACGCTCCACTTCTCGATGTATGTGCCGTTCCACTGCACGCCCCCTGTAAACAGGAACATGAGGCCAATCTTGATCGAACGCGAGAGCTCGTCAACGAGGATGAGATTCGACGGGAGCTTCTCCACTGGCCCCCAAATGACCCCGATCATATCGTCGATGAAGTACTTGTCGCGCGATCCATCGCAAATGCGCCTCGTCTCCAGGGGGGGCTCGTGCGACTCGCTGCCTGAGGCGCTGCAGGAGCCACTAGTCTTCTTGGGTCTCCCCTTGCCCTTGGCCTTGGCCTTGGCATTCGGCTTCCCGTGACCGTCCGTGTCTACCAGAGGCTGAGGGTTCACAGCACCACCATCGCGAACCTCGGCGTCCTCAGGTACAGCCTCAAGCTGGCATGCACTGCGCTTTGATCCCCTGGATGCCTGGCCTCTCCTTTTGCAAGTGGGGTCGTAGACGACAGACCCACCCATGGGCGCCATCATCCAGTCCAACTTGATGCGGGACTTAGCGTCCCAGAAGATCCAGGGCACCTCAAGCTTTGGGTTCGAGCTCGTCTCCGAGTCAATGTCTTCGGAGTCCAGCAAGATCGGCGCGGCGAGCTTCAGGACCTCGATGACGAGCTTCTTGAAGATGACTGGGTCCATCGCGTTCGAGAACTTCTCCACGAGCAGCGACACAATGTCGTGATTGAACCTGCACATCGTCTGGTTGTCGATGCGGGGGCCCAAGAAGTTTGACTTCTGCTCCATCATATTTTTGTACTCGTCGTACACACCGAGAACGTTGGCCATTGCGTTGTAGAAAGATTTGCAGTTCTCGAAGTGCTGCCATGGCGTCGATCCGAAGAAATCCTTGTGATTGGCCAGCACGAACTCCTCGTGCTGCTTCTCGTATCGGTGCGGGCCCTTCGAAGGGCACGTGGACTTCGTGATGGAGTGTTTCTTGCGGTGTGCGTCCCAGTGCTTCTGGATGATTGGGCACTCGTCGTACAGCTCGATCACTGTGGCCTCCGACCCCGTGTGGTACATGTTCGCTTGGACGCGAACCTCGGAGGGCACCAACTATACACCATCACCGATCCTGGCCCAGGATCACCCTGGGCCCATGATCGGTGTATATGCCTTCTTGCCCAAGGCAGGAGGGCGTATGGCGTATGCACCGATCCTGGGCCCAGGGTGATCCTGGCCAGGATCGGTGTTGGTGTATAGCTGGTGCCTTCCTAGAACCCACTTCAGGACGTCCAACGGAGTATCGCGATGGAACTCGTATGTGTCGTTGATGCCGTTCTTGTACACCCACGCGACGTGCTGATTCGTGGGGTCCAACCTATGCGCCATGTGGATGGCGTCAACCAACGTACCACCGCCGATCATCAGGTCGGCGTCTCCGTTCGTGTCCTTCACGTGCCACATCTTCCCCCTGAATGCTGTCATCAGGCCTCGCTTCATGAACAGCTTGCAGTATCGCACCACCACTGCCTTTTGTGTGCGCTGGTTGAGCATGTGCCTGCGCACGCGCTTCTCGCCCGTAGCAGAATTCCACAAGTAGAGCTTTGCAGTGGGCGGCCTTGGCAACACGTACGTCGTCATGACGAAGTCCATGCGGGCGGCCCCCTCGAGGCCCTCGAGACGAATGTCGATGGACTCGCGCGGGTCCCAGGTGCCGACCTTCGGCCGCCATGCTGAGTCTGGCGAGGCTTCCTGGGGAGATCCGTCGGCGAACGACATCTGGGCGTCAGCCCCAAGAAGAATTCAATCGAGTGCTCGGAAAGCTGGCTGAGCTAAAATGGCTACGGAGGAGGACGTCGAGGGGGGATGGGGTGGGGGCATCGTGGGACCCTCTTGGTGAGCACCTGGAGCAGTCTTGGGGCCCTCCGAGGGCCCTGGGACCCTGGGGGGAGGTCCAGGAAAGCACCGAGAGGGCTCCAAGAAGGCCACTCCAGTGGGTGCATAACAAGAGCCTCGAGTTATATACGCCACGGGGGGCTTCTTGGGGGCGTCTTGGGACCCTCTCGGGGGCCGCCTGGAGCCGTCGTGGGGCCCTCTTGGGGCCCTCCAAGGGAGGAGGAGGGGCGGTGTCCCCCGACGACTCAGAGCGCCCTAAGAGCCCTAGGGGCTGAACGAGGACATGCTGGATTCAAGACCCTTGGAGGATGTGCCCAATGCGCTAGGGCGGGCCGAGCAGGCGAGGACCGAACAGGAAAGGGCGCAAGGGCAGCCACGACGGGGGGCGGACAAGACCCACCGGTGGGCCGCGTGATCAGCAAAGGGGTCGGGAGGAGCTCCCGACCCACCGGCCACCAGCATCCGAGGGGTCGGGAGCTCCTCCCGACCCCATTGTGTGTTGGAGGGGAAGGGGGTCGGGAGCTCCTCCCGACCCCTCGGGTGCTGGGAGGGGGGGGGTCGGGAGCTCCTCCCGACCCTCGGGTGCTGGGGAGGGGGTCGGGAGCTCCTCCCGACCCTCGGGTGTGGGCGGGGGGGGTCGGGAGCTCCTCCCGACCCCTCGGGTGCTGGGCGGGGGGGGTCGGGAGCTCCTCCCGACCCTTCGGGAGCTAGAGGGGGGGGTCGGGAGCTCCTCCCGACCCCTCGGGTGCTGGAGGGGGGGCGTCGGGAGCTCCTCCCGACCCCTCGGGTGCTGGATGGGGGGGTCGGGAGCTCCTCCCGACCCCTCGGGTGCTGGAGGGGGTGGGTCGGGAGGCCCCCCCGACCCCTCGGGTGCTAGAGGAGAGGGGGACAGGGAACTCACCCCGACCTCACGGATGTTCATGCGAGCAGCGGCTCCCGAACAGTATGTGACCAGCTTCCCGACTGTGACTGGGCACTGGCAGTGGATGCGCGGGGCTCCAGGAGCGCTACGGTGGCCCGAAGATACCGACGCAGCAAGGGCAAACTCGGTGTGTGCCTAGCGCGTTAGTCACGCAAGCTGGCAACACTATATCATTATCAAACCTCGGAACCCCCAACTCTCTAAAGTCCTCTACGAGGGAGTTGGAGCATGCTATGTGGCACACTAGCGTACACACGCAACACTGGTGCAAGCCATCCTCCTCACTGTTGTCGCAAACGAAACAGGGAAGCAAGGGGGCAGCTGGCTCGGCCACGGCGATCTCAGCGATGTGCTTCACACGCAGCGCCTGCGGGGTGACGCTCGGCCTGCCCAGCGCCTTGGTCACCTGGCCGCGCTAAACAACTCAGGAGGAGGAGGATAAAGAGATGGCGTCACTGATGAGTAGGAGGAGGAGGAGGAGGAGGAGGAGGAAGTCAGGAGGAAGAGGAGGAGGAGGATAAGAGGATAAAGGGATAAGGAGACAAGAGGCTCACCTTCATCATGCGGGTCCCGCATGCTGGATGCAATATCGTAGCGTGAGCGTAGCCGCGATGTGGTTGGGCGTGCGCTCCAATCACCATGGAGAAGATCAGGGAGCCGTTCTCGTCTCTCACCTTTTGCCCCCAGCGTGCAGCAGCGTTCGCCCAATTGACAAACTCGACGCAGTGCCCCCCATTCCTCTCTTCATGCACCAAGGACACTTCGCCCTTGTCCCCAACAGGGGTGTATAGTGTAGCATGGCTTCGGTCGCTGAAAGCCGCAATGGACACCTGCACCTCCTCTAACCACTTTGCATGCATGCCCTTGTTGACTGCAGGCGCTGGAGCTGCAGGGCCTTGATCTGCAGGGGCACCAGCAAGACCATGTTCCACAACAACATCGTGTAGCGATTTGGCAATACTTGCGTCGTGTAAGTCTTGGGTATCCGTTCGCATCGTGTCGTCCTCGTCCGTGTGCTTCTCTAACACTGAAATGAATTGCTTGGCAAACTCTGTGTCCTCCAAAACATCAATGCCTTTGCGAGCCTCCGCTTCATCTGAGAGCTCAGAACTTTCAGCTTCAAACCCTGGTTGCATAGTTGGTTCGTCGCGGCCCTCCAACTCCTCGAGGATCCTCTCCAGCTCTTCCGTCAACCCATCGTCACATTCGAAGCCAAGTTGCGCCTGTGCGTCCTGAACGGGTAGTGCTGCCTTCTTGTCTTTCTTTCTCGGCGCAGCAGGTTTCTTGCTCCTCGGAGTTGGCGGCGAATCGTCGAGTGCGAACAGCATCTCGTTGTCACGCCCTGGACATGGAGCATCTGTAGACGTATCGATCCTCAAATCGCCCCAAGCTCGCAGGTGAACACGTGCATTGATGACTTGCTTTGCTGCTCCATCAGGTGGCTTGACGCACCTCGAATAGAGCTTCGAGAACACATCCAATGACGATACGACAACAATAGGAGTGACTGCTCTGAGGTCGCTGCCGTCTGCGTTGAGCTTGCACTTGACCATGTGGCCAGAAGAACCGTATGTGAGAGCAAGAACCCAACAATGATCGTCTCCGTCGAACTGCAACACATTGATACCTTCGGCCTTAACCTGGTTGAACCACTTGCGATTGTACCGTTGGCCCCACAGGAGAGCTGCAGGGTCGCCCTTTGGGTCAGTAGGCCTCGATCCACCTGTGTCGCACAATGCCAGCGTCGGATCAGGAACGCTGAAACGGAACGGCATGTTGAGCACACTGTCTATCTCAGAAGCGTGGTCGATAGCTTCGGCGATAGCTGCGTTCACCCTGGGCGCAACGTCAGTCCACTTCAAGGACGCGCCTCGAACTCCCAAGCATGCTGTCTTTCGCATTGCGACCCGCGCATCCAAAAGAGGTAACCCAATGGATGGTGCTCGGCGAACCACGGTCTGTAGCAGGTTGTTCACTCCCTCGATCTCCTGCGTGTCTCCGCGCCAGAAGACCGAAGCAAGATATAGAGGCATCCACACTCGCATACTAAGCACACCCGTCCGAGAAGCTTCTCTGATCTCCGCCTGGAACATATGTACCACTTTGGCTGCTGTTATATGGAGGTTGTCCATTGGTGTGTTCAAAAGTTCAGCTGCCACTGCTTTCCGCTCATCGCATTGGGCTCCTGCCTCTTCTTTTACCATGAGTAGAAGCTTGTACGGATAGGAAGTGACCCTCGGCGTGATGCGTCGCTCGTAGTCGACGATGCACCTTACAACAAGTCTCTTGATCCAAGTCCACAACAAGCCACGGATATCAACAGGAGCTCTGCACATAACATCTTCCCAGGCGCTCCGCTGCAGCAGGCCGCCAAGTTCTTGCTTGATCTCGGCAGCCTTGCCCCACGTGAACAACGCCAGGCTGGATGGTGAGCGTTCAGGTTGCGATTTCATCAGGCAGTGTAAGGCATGGTCGTACGGGGCCTTGAGCTTGCGCGAGACCGATACCATCACCCAGAACAGATCCTCTCGTACCCCAGCGGATGCATCCTTTGCATACTTGCTCTGTCTCATAGCGTACACTTGCATATCCTCCTGTCCCATTTCGTCGAGCTCACCACCAGAAGCTTCCATCTTCTTTGATATACTTGCAACGAGCTTCTCCGAGTCTTCTTTCCTATCTGCGAGCATTGATAACAAGAGCGGCCTCAACTGCCTTCCAGGACATCTATCAAGGTGCTTCTCGCAAAGGGTTGTGTTGCCCCAGCGGCCGACAAGCGGCTTGGGCGGTATTTGCTGGGCATACGTCATCCCGTTCACGGCGCCGAAATGTTTCACCCAATTGGTGAACATGTCGCGGGCGTTGTCCCTCCAAAGATGCATAATCTTCCCCAGCGTCGCGTAATACCGTATGATGGTTGCTGCTGTTCCGCCCGCTGCCACTCGGGCGCGGTTCTGGGCCTCGATCAATTCTTTAAGCATGATGTCGCAATCTTCCAAGACTGACCTCGCCATGATATGCAACTGGTGCATGAGGCAGTCGCCGTCGAACGCCCAGCACCACGCGTTGCCAGCACATTCCCTATGCATCCATTTGCGAGCCCCCACTTCATCGGAGCCTGCGTCTGATGTGAACGCCCACACCTCCACGTGCGGCATCTCGATCTGTGCTGCTCGGTCCCACTCGGCAATCGCGGTGCTCTCCACGGCGGCAAGTGCGGCGCCATCTGCAAGTAGCGGCGGCGCTGCTGGAAGTGCAAGGTGTGCAGGAGCGGCGCCGTCTGCATGTGGTAGCGGCGCTGCTGGAAGTGGAAGGCGATCGGGCTCCGCAGCAGGCAGAGCCAGTATATTGTAATCGATAGTCCTGCTTACCCAGCTCTTAGAATACGTGCTTGTCAGCTGCTTCAATATCATGCCGTGGGTGCCCTGCGTCGTGCTCCTGCCAACAACCTGCAAGTCTCCCATCTCTCGCCTGACTTTGAAATTTTTGAGAACCGATGACAACGTATCGTGCTCATGAATTGGCGTACTCACGTACCCAGCGGTCAACTCCAGGGTGTGGAGCTTGGACTTCTGCCAAACTTGAGCATTGGTCGCATCTCCGCGCAGCGCGTGGAGAGAAACTGTCACTGCTGGCGCTGGCGGTCCATCTGCGCGCGCAGCATCGTGAATGTTCTTGATACAAGAAGCCATATTGTTGTGGAAAGAACGGCCTGCAGCTTTCAATGCGGCTCGAAGGTGGCATTCCCATGTTGCTACAGTCTGGTGCGAGACGTCAGTTTCCAGCACGAGACCCAGGGCAGCTGCAGGCGTGTTGCTCACGCAACGCCTCATCGCCATTCTCATGCCGCCAGCTATGCTGAAATATCTATCGCACGGGCCTCTCCGCAGCGACTTATCGATGAGCTCCTGCTTCAACCGATCCACCTCTCGAGTCAAGCTCTTGATCGTCTCATCGCGGCGCGCCACCTTCCTGTTGAGGCCCTGGATCGTGCACTGGAGGCGCCTCTTCAAGATGTGGGGGGGCCGCAGCGGCTGTCGCTGTTCAGGCTCAGGCAGAGGCAGTGGTTCAGGCTCGGGCCGTGGTTCAGGCTCAGGCCGTAGTTCAGGCTCGGGTAGGTGCTCCTGCGGAGCAGCGGAGGAGGAGGAGGGAGGAGGAGGAGGAGGAGGAGGAGGAGGAGGAGGAGGGTGAGGAGGGTGAGGGGAGGGGGACGAGGAGGAGGAGGAGGAAGATGAGGAGGAGGATGAAGAGGAGGAGCAGGGGAGGAAGATGACGAGGAGGAGCGGAGGGTGAGGGAGGTGGGACCCCAATATCCTGGAATCCCAACATGATGGCTGCCTGGCCGAAGTCCCCCTCCTGAAAACAAGCACCAGTGAGAGCGACCAATGCAGAGAACCTCGACCACGACAGGTCGTCCACGCGTCGTGCTTGTCGCACGGCCCTGGTGACGAACGGTGCCTGCGCAGCCCTGCCAGTTGCCTCCACAGCAGAAGCGAGGGCCTCGACTGAACGAAACTCAACCTGCCCATCCCGCGCGCCGACACGACCGCGAGCTGAAAGTGCAAGGATGCGAGCCGCCATGGGCTCTGAAAAGCAGTGCTTGAACCAGAAGGATGGGCATCGTGATGCACGTGCAAGCAACCCATATTCACCGATCCGCCACCCTCTGTGTGGGTTCCCGTGTGGGCTTTTGAAACAAACTTCTGTGTGGGTTCCCGTGTAGGCTTTTATCTAATGTATGGGAATCTAACCACTCATGGCGCTTGCTTTACTTGTACTTCTTGTTTCAACTAATTTAAAAACCGCATGTTTTACCACCTGTTTTCCCTCTTCCAATCATAATAGAGTTCCACCTACCAAGCTGGTTACACAAGGTTGAGGCGTGTAGGAATGCCAAGTGCTGTCTGGTGGCAGGGTTTTGTGAATATGCTACGGCTTCTCCCCGCGCCTTTGAATTTATTGCACCGTGGAGCCCCGCATTATTTAATCATATTCGTGGTTGTGTTCGAATGAAATATTGTGCTACAAACTGATAGAAAAACATGCGTTTCTTAATATAATATTACAAAACCAATGGTGTCTCTATTTTCTGGGGGGTCGGGAATGACCCCCAACATGGTCGAAACAGAAGGTTTTGACAGTCACGAAACAATTTGCAGTTACATTCCCATCCTCCTCCTCCTCCTCCTCCTCATCCTCCTCCTCCTCCTCATCCTCATCCTCCTCCTCCTCCTCCTCCTCCTCCTCCTCCTCCTCATCATCATCATCATCATCATCATCATCATCATCATCATCATCATCATCATCATCCCCCTCCAGGACTCCTCCTCCTACACCTCCTCCTCCTCCTCCTCCTCCTCCTCCTACTCCTCCTCCCTCCTCCTCCTCCCCTCCTCCTCCTCCTCCTCTCATCTCATCATCATCATCATCATCATCATCATCATCATCATCATCATCATCCCCCTCCAGGACTCCTCCTCCTACTCCTCCTCCTCCCCCTCCTCCTCCTCCTCCTCCTCCTCCGCCTCCTCCCCCTCCTCCCCCTCCTCATCCTTTCCTGGCGGCCCCGAGGCCCGCAGCCGCCATCCGGACGAGGCCAGCAGCTGCGACAAACCAAACCAGCTGGCCTCGATCATATCGCCCTGGCGCCGGCTGCCGTGGGAGCACGGCGCCCTCCCTGCAGACTCCGACTGCAAGGCTGGAATGCAGGAAGCGGGTCCTGAAGGAAACGGGTCCCGGATCCCGAGCGCTTCTCTCCCGGGAGGAGCTTCTTCTGGACGACGAGGCACTGCTGAAGGAGACGGGCGTGGCACTCAGAGCCGTTTTTGGGACAGTGCCGAGCCCGTCGAAGGCCCCAGGAGCCTGGAGGAGGAGGAGGAGGAAGAGGAGGAGGAGGAGGAGCAGAAGGAGGAAGAGGAAGAGCAGAAGGAGGAGGAGGAGGAGGAGGAGGATAAAATCACTACGCCCGTGTCCGTCCTACCCCGCCTGCTTCCCGGCGAACGCGAGGCCCCTCGGCGTGCGCTCTATGGCGCGCGCGCGCCCAGCCCCCCCCCCGGGCTCCGGAGGGCTCCGAGGCCGAGGCCCCGAGCGACGACAGGAACAACGAGGCGTCCTGGCCAGGGGCCGCCGCGGGAGGGCGAGAGAGCGACCTTGTGAAGCGAGAGCGAGTCAGATGCTGCAGCGATCGTAACGTCGTGCGTCGCAGCGCGTCATGGTGCCACGTGCCAATACAATGCGTCGTGGTGTTAGGTCGGGCATTGTTCTCCTACAGGCGGATTCTGGACGAAAAATGACGACTTGTAAAGCAAGAAAAAGCCCCCAAATAGTCAAAACAGAATCGAGACATCGGCCCCATGCGACTGTGAAAACCATGTTTGCATGTTCCTCCTGCAGATGGACGTGCCCGACTTAATCGCAGCGCCGTGCCGTCGAGATGCCGTGCGTCGTAGTGCCACTGTGCTGTCGTGCCGCAGTGCCTCCGCGTCCCAGTGTCGGGGTGATCTGTGGCGTCGCGAGGTCGCGGCGTCGCCCTGCCAACGATGGAGACGTGCACGGTAAGAGGGTGTGGATGGGCTGTGGATCCATTGCAAGCTGGCTTGGAATACAGTGGGAGCCCGATCACAAGAAGCCTTCCGCAAGAAACCCAACACCGAGACGCCAGGACGTCCGTGGATTTTGCGGTGTGGGAGCGTCACGCTTTCCACAGCAAAGCCATCGAAACCCAAGAAGCCCAGGGCACCCTGGAGGGAAGCAGGGTGTTTCTTGGCCTTGGCATGGGCTTCCACTGTAAGAGGATGTGGATGGGTTGTGGATCCATCGCGAGCTGGTTTGAATACCTTCAGAACGGGTGTGCAATGTGAAATCCAGTGTGGTCAGTGCAAAATCACGGGTGGATCGAGTGCGGGCGTCGTCGTGGTGTCGCCGTGCCGATGTTTCTGAACCGACAACGCGGACCAGAAGTCTGGCATGCTCCACGGACCCTCGTTCGCGGAGCAACGCTGTAAACCTTGGCCGAACACGCTGGCTCACTGCTGAAGCTCATCAATGAACTTCTCGTCCCCGAAACGATCCCATTTTTTCTGGAAATCGTCGAACTCGGCCCTGCTTTGGCCTGAGCTGGCAGCGGCGCGACCCTGCCCAGAGACATCGATCCGACTCGGCGGCGGTGCTGCAGGATCGCTCTTCGGCCTGCCGTGGTAGTAGCCTTTCTTAGAGACCTCGGCCAACAACCTCCTATCTTCGTCGTCGAGAACATCCAGATCCAGCTGCTCAACCTGATGCTTCACTCTACCACCTTTGCCTGTACCAGAGTCGCTTCGGCAGGAAGACTCCTCATCTTCATCGGGTCTCAGCAAGTAATCCGCCAACGTGCCATAGGCACTGAGTGGAGTGCCCGCAGGCCCATCAGAGACCCCGATATTGAACGGCGCCAATACGTTTCAACGGGTCCCAACCCCGGATTCCCATAATTCTCGGGCGCTGATCGGTGCTCTCGATCGCTCATTTCTCCCTCGCATCGCTCCTTTTCCCTCGCGCGATTTGTTCAGAGGATTCGGGAGCCGTGGCTGGAGGCCTCAATCTCCAGCATGCTTTCAGATGGTCCCAGGGGTGTGTGATCGAGCCTATTCGGGGGCCTCTTGGGCTGCATTGGAGGCCCAAGGGGCCAGCATGAGAGGCTTGTTAATATGGAAAGCGTCCATGACGGCGCAACAAGCCCCAGACATCGCCTAACAACGGCCCTGCCGTCAAAATGCTCCTAGGAGGCCCTAGAAGGCGTTCAGGAGGCGCCCAAGCGCTTCCAAGAAGCCTACACGAGGCCACCAAATGGTACCCCAAGAGACCCGAGGAAGTCTCTGAGGCCTCTTCCACGACCCAGGCACGGTGGCGGGATGTGCAGACGGCCACCAAATACACGCCACCTGCTGTTCACAAGGGTGCTGGCTCTCTTGGGCCCTTCCGAAGGGTGTCTGGCAGTCTTAGACCCGACCCGCCGGCCGCCCTGAAAAGCAAGACTCAGTGATCACTTCTGTCCCAACTTTATCCGAGAGGGCCTCCAAGACGAAAAGATCGCCCCTGAAGACCTAAGATGGCCTAGACGGCCTCGAAGCTGGAGAAGATGACCCGATGCTGTTTCCACAACGGCCCCTGACGGCTCCAAAATGGCCCGAAATGGCCCGACGATGGACCAATATAGCCTCCAGCCCGCTTACAACGGCCCGCGATGGCCCAAGAAACCTTCCAGATGGTCATGCGCCCCAAGATGGTCCCTAAAAAGAAAGACCCCCACGGCGGCCTCCAACGCTCTAAGACTGCATACAAGCCTCCACAAGGACCCCAAGAATCACCACGAGGCCCGGATGACGCACCCAAAAAGGCCCTCATGATGTTTTCTTGACGGGCGAATTTTGCCATGCGGTTGAACACATTGCCATTCCCTGAGGGCGGGGGGGCGGCGGCGGTTCGTCGTCGGCGTCTTCGATACAAGAGGCCTGCAACCCCAACCGCGGAGAGCGCGGTGACCAGCAGCTGAGGCATAGAGCATCTGGACGACATTCTGGCACGAGTGTTTCTTCACGGCCCTGCGCGGTCATCACGCCAGCCACACGGATGGCAACTGCAGCCTGCGTTTGAGCCGCTCATGTTCACTTGATCCAAAAAGGCTACAGACGTCGTGGCGCCAATCTCTGACAAAACGTGAGGCGGCTGCGGCGCAACTGGGATGTACAGCGAGGAAGTATACGACGTGGATCGAGCGTGCTTCGAGTAGGAGCAAATGTACGTCTAGCATCCTTCAACTGTAAGATAAGTAGGAACCACTTGCGGAGCGATACCGGTCCAATGCCGAGTCAAGTGTGAGCTGGTTGCAAGGTAATCGAGGACCCCTTGCGGCTAGGATGGCTGGATGCGTGGACTGAATGCGCGCCTCATGAGCGAACGCGCTCATGGCCGAGCCTGGGGCTGTTGCTGGAATGTTCTGGGACGGAGTCGAAGCCCTCCGACCTCGTCGCGGACCCCAGCAGGCTTGTATCTGGCGAACAGCCGCCGAGAGGGCCCCAAGAGACCTCCAAGAGGCCCCCGAGGAGCCCCCAGAGGTCCCCAAGAGCCCCCCAAGAGCCACCCAGAGCTCCCAAAGTGCCCCCCAAGAGGCCCCACGTGGCTCCAAAAATGCCCCCGCGAGCACGCAGGCAAGTATATGTCCACGCTGCTGCAATGAGCCCCCAAGAGGCTCCCAAGACGGCCCAAGCGGGCCTCAAGGGGAGCCAAAGAGGGGCCCAAGAGGGGGGGCACGAACAGCCTTTTCGGGCCCTCTGCTCCGAGACGCCCATGACTGCCCACGCAACACCTCACGGAAACCACCACCACCCATCAGCGCTGCAGTGGCGACGAACACGCGTGCAAACGCCCGCGATGGAATAGCCCGGGTCGGCGGAATGAGCGAAACGATCAAAATCGGCGGGCCCCCTGCGGGCCCTCGCCGCATTGAGAATTTCGAGAGGAGATGATGAGACAAAGGTGGAATGGAGGATGCTGAGAAGCATGCACAAAATCATGCTGAGTGCGGCCTTGCGCATTCCGCCGGACTCAAGATGGCAGATGTTGTCAA